TTCTTCTTGGATCAACTATCAACACTCATGGAAGCAGCAGTCAAGAAATAAATGACGTATTGCATTAGGCAAATCTGCTGCGCAAGACCTTTTTAAAGAGTTGAAGAGCAAAGATGTCAGCTGGAGGACTAAGGTGCACCTGACCCAAACCATGGTATTTTCAGTAAGCTCATATGCATGCAAAAGCTAGACAGTTATTGAATAAGGAAGACCGTAGAAGATTTGATGCTTTTGAGTTACGGTGTTAGACGAGAATATTGAAATTGCCATGGGCTGCCAAAAGAACCCACAGATCTGTGTTGGAAGAAGTGCAGCCAGAGTGGTCCTTGGAGGCCAGGATGGCTAAACTTCCTCTCTCATACCTCGGCCATATTGTCAGGAGGGACCAGTTGCTGGAGAATGAGATACCATGTTTGGTACGGTGGAAGGTCAGAGAAAAAGAGGAAGACCTCCAGCAAGATGGATTGGCAAAGTGGCAGCATCAGTGGGCTCAAGTGTGGCAACAATTTTGAGGTTGGCCCAGGACCGGGCAGTGCTTCATTCTGTTGTGCATAGGGTTGCTCTGAGTTGGCACCGACTCAATGGCACCTAACAGCAACAATAATATAGTTCAAACCTATGTTGTCCAATGGTCAGCTGTATTGATTTTTGAGCGTCACAAATTTCAGTAGCAGGAGAATTTGCAAATGGGATTTGTGAATAATAAAGATTGACTTTATACACAAACACACACATACTTGTTTTTGTTTTTTTCACATACATACTTTTTTGATGAATCATTGGAAGTTAGGTGTATATATCATAGTTCACCTCTCAGCATTGTAGCTTTTATTTCTCAGAATGATACTCTGTTACACTGTGCTGCACTACCATTACCATAACTAACAAACGTAACATTTGATACTATTATTTTACCTAATAAATTTGTTTTTGTTTGTTTAAGTGCCGTCGAGTCGGTTCCGACCCATAGCGACCCTGTACAGGGTGGGTTTCTGAGGGTGTAAATCCTTACGGGAGTAGAAAGCCTCATCTTTCTCCCGCGGAGCGGCTGGTAGTTTCGAACCGCTGACCTTAAGGTTCGCAGCCCGATTCATAACCACTACTAGTCCATATTAAAAATTTCCTTGGTTGGCCCTTGAATATCTGTTACAGCTGGCGTTTTTCTTTGTTTTCACCCAGGATCCTTTAAAGGATCATATATTGTGTTTGGCTTACCATGTTTTCTTATTTTTCTAAGTGCCCCCACCTTTATTCATCTTTTATGATGTTGACATTTTTTTAAGGGTCCAGAACACATGTTTCATAGAACACCCCAGACTCTAGGTTTTTCTGATTGTTTTCTCAACTTTATATGTAGGCTAAACATTTTAATCAAAATTACAGATTATCTAGTTAGTTTTCTGTATTCACCATTGTATCACATCAAACTGAAACCAGTTGCTGTTAAGTGTGACTCACGGCAACCTCATGTGTGCTGTAGAGTAGACTTGTCCCATAGGGTTTTTAAGGCTGCTGTGGCCTTTTGGAAGTAGATTGCTGGACCTTTCTTCAGAGATGTCTCTGTGTAGCTTCAAACTGCTAGCCTTTTGGTTAGTAGCTGAATACTTACCTGTTTGTATCACCCAGGGATTCCTCATCAGAACAGTTTGTCCCACATTGGCATTGCTAAGTTTAGTCATTTGCAATAAGTGATGTGTGCTGCACACTTACATGTTTGTACCACCTCTGCACTCTTGATGCGTCACAGACATTTCCTTTGCAAAGGTATCTTTTTTTCCTTTGCAGTTAATGTCAGCTGTGGGGTGAAAACTCTTGAGACACATGTTTCACCCAGTGGTTTTATTTGACATCCATTGATAATCGTTACCTAAATCAGTTACTAGATTGGTGGCTGCAAAATGGTGATTTTTCAAATTGTTTTGTTCATTTAGTATTTATTAGCAGACACTAAAAATAGGGTTTCTCTTGGTTTGGCTCATCACTCTGGATTTATGGATTCTTTCCTCAGTGTTTTGTAATTTATTATCATCAGTCTTTTTTTTTAATTAAGTTTTTATTGCGAATCAAGTGATAGTTTACATGGGAGAACATTTGGTCTTACACTCATTGTTTCATTGCAATGATTACAATCTCTGTACATTATCATTCAACTGTATTTGCTTCTATTCCTGTTTTTGTTGTTGCTGTTGTGGGGTGTACACATTTAAACAACCGAAGGACACATTCTGCAAGCCTGCCTCCTGGCCACCAGCACCTGGCCCCAGCACACAGCCTTTGTCTTTCCATGAATCTAGAGTCCTCAGCTGCTCTCTCTCTCCATGCCCTCATCTCTGTCTCCATCCCTGGTGTCGCTGCTTCTCTGGATAGGGTCTGACATTCCACTCAGTCATCACTCTTATGGTATACCCCAAATTTGACTGGTGGTTAAGAGCCCCAGCAGGCTAGCTCCTGTGTCCTTTTGGCAGGTCCCCATCATTCTCTGAGTGCTCCCTTGCTTTCCATAATGTAGGATGCTTCAGACTTATCTTGTATTTTCCCTTCCCCCAGACCTAAAATAAACCATTCCCCCCCACCCCCCAAGGAAACATCATTCAATTTAGTGAATGTGGCAGTTGGTGATTTTTTCTTGGTTTTTGTTGTTGTTGTTTTTAAATATCAAAAGTATTCTTCATAATAATTTCTTTCTTTATCCGTTAAACAGGAGAAATGTTTTAGGAGTGACTCGGTATGCTCACTTGAAGAAATCCAAGGGGTCAGAATCCTTTGCTCTTTTTTTGCCTCGTTTGAATACAGAGCCGGGTCTTGTATTAAACTTCAGCGCAACTGCCCTAAGGAACAGTGTGGTGAGAACAGTTTGTTTTTTTAACCTCTTTGTCAGTGACACCTCAACTCTTGACTTTTCAACATACCAGCGTAATTCTACCTCGGGTGACTGTTTCAGGACCAAAGTTAATTTAAGTTTACTTTATGTGACACATATGTACCATTTCTCCACTTTTAGGGGGTGCCAAAAGAACACAATAAGGAATGAAGTGTTAAGTAGAATGGAAAAAAAAAAAAATCATTGCTATGTGCTAAAGTGCAAGTACATTTTTTAAATGAAATTTATATACAGAATTGTACCTTCTGAATATGGTTAAGGAAGCATTCAGCTACTGCACACAACAGAAATCAGGAACCATGCAGGCAAAAAGGCCGTAGGATGACATATATAAAACTCTGAAACCAGCAAAATTGTCTCTCAAATATAATGGTGAAATTAGGACATTTCCAGAGAAACAGAAATGAAAAGAGTTTATGAAAACCAGACCAACCTTAGAAAAAGTACTAAAATAAATCCTTTGGACAGAAAACCAGCTACAGCAGACAACAACCAGTATATGACCATATCACACAGAACTCAACCCAGATATAGAAGTATCCAAAAAGTAAAACAAACCTACAATACTGAAAATAGGGAACCAGAGATACCAGTTTGAAATACAAAACCCCCACAAAGTAAAAAGAGGGATTAGTGTAGTAGCAGAATGTCCACATGAAGAAGAAAGCACATAGATTTCAAGAAAGCAGTAAAATATAATAAATAAAAATCAACCAAACTCTCCTGATGTGCCACTGTAGGTTCAGCACTGGACTGCTAACCATAGGTTAACAGTTCAAACTCACCAGCTGCTCCTTGGAAACCCTGTACAGGGTTGCTATGAGTCAGAACTGACTCCACAGCTCACCACCACCACCAAAGCTAAACTGTACTCTTAGCCTTAGCCCAACTCCTAACCTTAACCCTAGTCCTGACTAACCCTAATATTGAAGGAAGTTCTAGGCCTAGCCTAGACCTAGCCATAACCCGAACTCCTGACTCCTCCCCTCCAGAAGAAGAAAAAGAAAGAAAAAAAAAAAAAAGATTACAGGTTTTACAGCCTTAAAAACCCTATGGGGCATTTTTAGTCTGTTGTTTTTGTTTTTTAAAAAGGTTTGCCTCACACTTGCTTAACTAGGAGTTTGTTTCCTAACAAGCCCAGAAGAGGGAAGTCTCCAGCTGTGCGGTGGCTCTTCCTCTGTATTCATTGTCTTCCTCAGTCTGCTGGCTTCCTTCCTGTTGTGTGTTTCTCCTCTCAGCTAGGGACAGTGTGCTGGAAAAAGGGCCAAGGGAGAGAGGTTGATGCAGCAGCCTTATACTTAGGTCTTGTTGGGAAGAACTATCCCGCCAGCCAGCCAGCAAGCAAGCCAACCAACCAACCAGTTGCTGTACTTAGTCTCATGGCGACCCATGATGTCACTAATTTTGAGAGTGTAAAATTGATTGTTCCTTGTATTCTGTGTCAATGATGAAAGCGTGAAAGGGAAAAGAGGACAGCTCAGATAACTTCCAGGGGTCTGTCACAGCACTCAGGTGTTAATAGCTATTTTTATATACTTTTATATTGGATAGAACAAACAGTTGCTCAAGAAAATATATGAAACTTAATACCTTTTCTGATTCAAGAGATCATTTCATAATCTAGATGTATGTGTTATAAGATATTTTTAACTATATCTATCTGTACCCGTATATGCATTCTTAAAAAAATATCAAGTATTTCTTGAAATATTGAACCAGATTTGAGTAGTTTATTGAGTTAACTGTGTTGTTGGGTAATTGGACAGATCATAAATATTCCTTATTTCCAAAATTTTAATCTTTGGACCCTTTAAAGATTAGGCCCTTTGGGCAGTTGATTTGTTTAAGAGTTTGGTTATATAGAATAAGTAAACAACCAGTAACTCCTCTTTCAGTAATTTTAGGACCAATTGACTTAAGACCCTACCCCCCTTCCCACTTCATCTTTTCATTTCAAAATTGAAAATGAAGTAATTAAAAATTTTCTACCTTTGGTAAATTTTGATGCTTCTCCTTTCTTCAGTGTCAGGTGTTTTGGGGAAACATGGGAATTTTTTTCCTTGGGATGAGATGTGGTGGCTCTTGCCTGCTTTTCCCTGAAAGCTGTCAGTCATTGGGAGTTGATCAGAAAATGTGCTTATTTCTGTTACTTTACATACATGCTTTCTGAGAGTTTTAACTGAATCACCAACTTTACAGTTATGAGAAGAGATGCTACAGATTGCTAAGATTCATCAGAAAATAAGCCCTCCAACTGTTCCCATTGCCCTGTGGTCCACTGATTATCACAGACTTGCATTTGTATTTTCTAAATAGATCCCAAAATGACAGTCAGTAAAAATGGATGCTCATTGAGTTTTTCAGGGATGATACCCTAAAACTTATTAATTTGAAATCATTGCTGGCTTGAAATAACATTTTTTAAGACTACAAATGTTATAGGTACATAGACTCAGAAATCCGTTACCCCTTCACAAAGATTTACTAATTTTTAATCGTTTTCCATACTTGCTTTATCACTGTCCCTTGCTCTCTTTCTACATGCACATTTTTTGAGACATTTGAGAGTATTAGGCATTATACTGCATCACCTCTAAAGCCTTCATGCAGATGTGTAGCATTAATTATAATGCTTTTTATCTAATTATAATATTATTGCTTACAGTCCATTCAAAGTTTCTCCATTATTCTACTAATGTACTTTGTAGCAATTTTTATTCCAGTCCAGACTCTCACACTGCATTTAGATGTCTGGCGTCTGTAGTCTCCTCTAACCTTCCTCAGCTTTTCTTTGCTTGTCATGACGTAGACATTTTTGAAACGAACAAGCCATTTCCTTTTTAGAATGGCTTTCAGTGTGTGTTATTGACAGATTGTTGTCATTGGATTTGGGTCTGCATTTTTGGCATGGATACCTCAGGAGTGGTGATGTGTCTTTCTTGAGGTTTTAATTCTCCTTTCCTGTATCTAGGTGAAGTATTTTGTGGTGAAGAACCCTTCTTCTTTGCCCGTCTCCCTGCAGCTCCTCCCTATCTCCTTATATCCTCAACCCGAAGCTGCTCTGCACCTGCTCCACAAATGGTAATGCGTCCAGCCCATGAAGACTTACTGATGGGCATTTTGGGAAGTATTGTTACATGCACCAAGAGGCATTGACTTCAGATTTAGGACCTGGCCCATTGGTGTGTTTTAATTTGATAGAATGACTAGTATTGCTTGTTAGGTGGCATCTTCACTTGTACTGCTTCAAGCCCAGTTCCCAAAAAAACATTCTTTTCTTTGCTTAAAAAAACAACAAAACAAAGCTAGTTGCCATCTAGTTGCTTCTGAGTCATGGTGATCATGTGTCAGAGTACAACTGCACTCCACAGGATTTAACTTGCTAAGTCTTTGGAGGTAGATCACCAGGACCTTCTTCCCAAGTGCTTCTGGGTAGGTTTAAGCCACCTCCCTTTTTTGTTAGTAGCCAGGCTCTTAACCTTTCATGGAAATAGTATCATCATGATTTTCTCCTACATTTATATTTAGAAGTTAGATCATGTTGATCTCTGGGAAACAGAAGAAATAAGTTTAATGTAGCATAAGCAGTTTAGGATCAGATGCTACCCTAAATGTTGGTGGTTCAAACCCACCCGGCAACTCTGTGGTGTCCAGGCCTGATGAACTGCTTCCATAAAGATTATAGTCCAGAAAACCCTATAGAGCAGGTCTACTCTATTTAATTCAGGGACTGACTGGAGAATCGCTAATGACAACAGTTTAACTGAGCACGATGGGATGGTACTGTGTTAGTTCAGTGTGTTATATTGATTCATTTTCCACACAAGTACAGTTTTACTTAAAATAGTTCTCCCTTTTGACTTAGAAATATCTACTCTTACCCAGGTTAACTCAGCCTTGCTACTGTTGACATTTTGGGCTAGATCATTCTTTGTTTTAGGGGTAAAGGGATTGTATGTAGATGCCATAGTACCTCCCCAGGTTGTGAAAACCAAAAATGTTTCCAGATAGTGCTAAATTCCCTGGGTGACAGAATTCTCTTCAATGGCGAGTCACTGCCTTTCAAGTTCAATAGCAATGAATGATTTGGAGATAAAAAAGCTTTGCATTCAGAGCTTTTGTAACCATAATTTTCTTTCCATTCTGTGCTACAAGCCATTCATTTGGTAATATTTGCTGTATACTTACAATACACCCAGGGGCAGCCACATGAATTGTGCATACTCATGCAAACATGTGGATATTATTTCTCTATTAGAAAATAAGTACAATTTTAATCTTTTATGTTTGTTTGCTTTCTTTGTAGGTTTGGCATCGATACGCAGATGATTAATTTAACAACTGGTGAATTCCAGCTCACCAAAGCTTGCCCTTACCGGGTAGGATGTCATCTTAAGAAAGAATAAATAGTGCCCACAAATGAAACAAATGAGCTTTTTGGGCCTTGATGATATATGTTTAAAATGCCTTTACGTGTTTTTGTGTGGCTCTTTCGTTTTTGTTCTCTAGGTATTAAGTATACATAGCAGATTTTTCCAATTAACTATTGCAGCAGGAGTTGATGGTTTACTTAAGCCTGTAAATTATTTTAATTTGGAGATTTAAATTCATGTGCGTGAGGAAATAACCGTTGAAAACCATAAAACTCAAGACCCCAGTATTTATTATTCTCCTAAGATTCTCTGGCCCCTCACATATTTTTTAAGGTCAAACAGATTTTTTTTTTTAAAGATCTCTTACTAAGCTGGCTTCATGCTTTTAGCAAGTCACCTAGTTTGGTGATATTTACTTCATTTATTTAAAAGAAAAGGATTTCTTTAAAATTCTGACGCCTCAGTACAATGATGAGGTCATGGGTGAATCTTTGCCAGAATACTTAGGAGTAAGAGTTTGCATATTGTGTGAGAAGATACTGTGTGGCCACTCTACAGTCTTCTTTCTTACAGTTTTTTGTTTACAGCTCAGTGTTTTCCTTGTAGATATTCTTGTGTTTGAGATCAGATTGAAAATGGAGACTCTGTTGTTAAAGATAGATACACAAACAGATATGTATACATATGTAGGACTTCGTTTAGCACACACACATACACACACTTTAAATGCCCTGTGTGTATTTCCCATATCCGTTTTCATCAAGTCTTTTCCAACGCATGGGTCACCCTGTGTGTCGGGGTAGAACTGTGCTCTGTCAGGTTTTCAGTGGCTGGTGTTTTGGAAGTTAGATTGCCAGATACTTTTCTGGGTGCCTCTGGGTGGACTCAAACCCTCTTACCTTTCTGTTAGCAGCTGAGTGCATAATGAGTGCATCACCAGGAACTCCTCCTCGTTTATCATTTCCAAAAAATACACTGTTGGCTCTAGATAACTTGACCAACAGGAGGGAGATCACAGAAAAGCCCCGGCTAAGAGTTACAGTGAATTAGAGGAAGTTCAGTAGATTCCAACACAGATGTATTCTAATAAACACAGGATTTACCAGTAATTTCTATTTTGTTTTTAAGTGGTATAGGCAACAGTCACTGGTTTAAGGAGTCTTGCTGTAGTGATGTAGAACAAACACTACACTGTAATGTTGGTGGTGCAAACCCACCAGCTGTTCTGGGAAACCCTGTACAGGGTCACTAGGAGTTGGAACCAACTTGACAGCACTTAACAACAACAATAAACAACAGGCAACAGGAGAGGTGATGAGGCATTGTACTGATTGTGTCCCTCTCACCATTCTAATCAGTTCCCTCTCTACAGTGCAGTCTCCCAGTGCTGTTGGGGATAAATGAGTCCAGAATATATAAAGCCGCTTCATCCCATGGTACCAATCAGATCCTATATAGTGTGAAATTCCAAAAGTAATACCAGTTTCGTGTACATGTAGATATATTCAGATGTGTATTTCATCTGAAAAAACGATTTTATTTATTCCCAAAGATGTTTCTCAAGGATATTACACCTGCTTATGACAAGGGAAATCATTTCCCTTGTTGTTGATTTGTTTACCTAGACAGAAAGAAATGTCTGTATAATAAACCAAGATTTCACTCAAAATTGGTACTAGAGCTCTTTGTCATGTAAAGAAAGGTTGTCTACATTTAATTTTGTTGGTTTGCTTTTAAAAATGCAGTTCCTTTAGTTAAGAATATGTGAAGATGGCTATTTAGAGCTTTTAGTCCTGGCTCTTCCATGGTCTAGCAATGTTATCCTGGGCAGGCAATGTCACGTTTCTGAGCCCTGTGTTTCTCGCTCATAGTGTTTGAAGATTAAATAAGGTTTTGAGAATGCTCAACATTTTATATGCCTTCATCTATGCTTGTTCTTTGTATATTAAGAACCACTTTAAAACATTGGTTCTGTTTTTATCATTTTAATAACTAAAGTCCATGCGTTCATTTTTTTCAATATATATGTTGTACGTAGAAAGCAATGTTATCCCATCACCCTTACAAAGTTTATAATTCTAATGAGAAGGAATGAAATAGCACCATCTCCTCTGTCAGTTAGCATGAGAAATGCTAGCTGTAGTTGATCAATAAAACAACAAATTAAAAATGAAAAACATAGAAAACATTTTTCTGTAGTTTTATAACTCCAAAGAACCAGTGAATTGTTTGTAGCGATAAGGAGACAGAAAAAATCATGGAAATGAGCACTTGAATACAACGAAGAGTCAGGCCTTGAGTGAGATGGATTGGCACAGTGGCAGCAACAACGGATTCAGACAAAACAACAGTTGTGAGAATGGTTCAAGGCCAGGCAGTGTTTTGTTCTTTTGTACATGAGGTTGCTATGAGTTGGAACTGACTCAACAGCACCTAACAGTACTCTAGGATGTATTTCACAAAGATGGACACTTGTTTTTCAGGATTTGTTTAATTAAATTTATTCCTAATTTGCAGGGAATGCATTCTGAAGAGTCCAGGTTTGGCATCCTCTACTTAGATTTGCAGCCTTTAGAGAAGAAAAGAGTTGGTGTGGTTTTCACACCGGCTGACTATGGCAAAGTGACCTCACTTATCCTCATCAGGTAGGTGTGTCTTTGTTGCCATCCTGTTTCTTTCCAACAGACTTATCTATGTCTCTTTCTCTCAAGAATACGTAACCTCTGTCTCATAACACCAAAACCAGTTACTGTCCAGTCTATTTTAGTTCATGGCAACCACATGTGTTACAGAGTTGAACTACTTTTTGGCTATAATCTTTAGAGAAGCAGATCACCAGGTCTTTTGTCTGTGAGGCTACTGTTGGGGTTTGAACTGCCATGGTTTCAGCTATAGTGCCTGAGCACTTTGATGTTTTTGCCTTGTAGGAACTCCCACTAGCTAATGCTTGGTGTTTTTGTCTCATTCTGTCTTTTACTGATTGGCTGGTTGCATGATACGAAGAGAGAGTGACTGAGAAGGGAAGATTCCTGAAGCACATCATGTAATTGTAATCCCCTTGCCTCAGTAGGAATCAACTCAGTGGTAGCTGGTCAGTTGTTGCTAAGTGGCATTGAATCATTCTGACTCACAGCCACCCAGTATAGGGTTTCCCAGGAGCATCTGGTGAGCTTGAACGGCTGACTTTGCAGTTCAAATTAGCCTTGCGGTCCAGTGCATTAACCTGCAGTGCCACACCAGGACTCCATACTTTTCATTTAAAGCCCATTCTTCATTTAAGAACTAAGGTCATAGAAAGTTCAATAATAAACTTTAACCTCATCTCAGGTTAAGCTATTCCAGACTGGAAAATAAAGTCTGGATTTTTTGTAGCACCTAATTTATTTTTGATGGTTTCCTTATGATAGATGTGCAATATTTTTTCTGTACACAGTATCATCTAACATTTTATGACTTAAAAGGCCTTTAAATGATTAAATAAAAAGTTTTGGGGTCTTTTGATCCTTTAGATAAAGATAGAAAAAATATTTCTGTGTGTTTTGCATACATGGAAAAGTAAAATGAATCCATTCTTCCTTCTATGGTATTTGCATTTATGATGACTGGCTTTTAGTCTTGTTCGCATTCTTTAGACATCAGTTCCGCTTAAGTTCTTAATCCTAGAAATCATCATTTCAGTTCAGGAAAAAATGAAAACTAGTCTGAATTACTGTTTTTGTTTTGATTACTGATTTTGTTTAACTGCTATGTTTTCCATACTAGTAAGAACTTGACTAGATCTATGTGACTTGTGGGCTGGTGTTTTTCACTTTTTGGTTCAAAAGAAACAGTAGAATTTTGGTTTCTAGAATCATCCTTAAGACAAAATTGCTGATGACCATAGTTATAATGACTATGTTGTTAAGTCAGGATTGGAGGAAGACTTATTAACAACCTGAGAT